ATGTGTTTGTGTCTCCTTTATATATATATATATATATATATATATATATATATATATATATATATATATAATATATATACAATTGTTTATGTATATGTGCTGTCTATCCGTTGATACATTTATTTATTTATTTTTAATTCAAAATAAAACAAAAAATAAATAAAAACATTTACTCCTCAACAACTCAGCGAGATATAAATGATAAACCTACGGGGGCCTCTGGAGAAGATATTAGGGGCCCTAAACCCTCTAGGGGGCCCCTATAAACCCTAAACCCTAAACCCTCTAGGGGGCCCCTATAAAGCCTAAACCCTAAACCCTCTAGGGGGCCCCTATAAACTCTAAACCCTCTAGGGGGCCCCTATAAACCCTAAACCCTCTAGGGGGGCCCTACAAAACCCTAAACCCTAAACCCTCTAAGAAAATCCCTCTAAGTCCTAAACCCTCCAAAGGGCCCCCGCTAAACCCTAAACCCTCTAAGGGGGCCCTGGCCCTCTAAACCCTAAACCCTTAACACTCTAAAGGAAGCCCTCTAAACCCTAAACCCTCTAAGAACCCCCGCGTTGTTTAATACTAAATAGAGTTATTATATAACTCTATTTAGTAGGGGCCCCTAGGGGCCCCTACTTGAATGAGATAGCAAACATTTGTGTTTATTGCATTAACTGTTTAACTGTATGAGGGGGCCCCTCTCTGTTGTTGTCTTATGTGTATATGATTAATGTTGTTTTGCTATTTAATGAAGACAGTTTGTTTTATAAATGAATTAAATTTATTAATTTGAGTTGCTTAGGGGGCCCCTTGTTCATTCAAGGGGTCTTTAAAGGCAGCAGTTGACGCTGCTATGAGGGGGCCCCCAACAGGGGGCCCCCAGGGGCCCCCTGAATGCTGCTGGGGGCCCTGTGCATGCATTGAGGTGTACAGACAGTGGCAGTTTGCTTTGCTGCGGGTCCGCTTCCAGCAGATAAGCCTTGCTCTGACTGCTGCGGTGCGGCAGCAGGTGCAGCAGCTGCAGCAACAGAAACAGCAGCAGCAGCAAAAGCAGCAGCAGCAGCAGCAGCAGCAGTTATTGGTTAAGAGCAGCAGCGACAGCTCTGCCCGGACCGAGGCATTGCATGCGCTGTGGCATACATCTGCTGCTAACAGCAGCAGCAGCAGCAGCAATGGGACCTCCCTATTGAAGAGAAAGTCTATAGGAGGAGCAGCAGCAGCAGCAGCAGCAACAGCAGCAACTGCTGCAGCAGCAGCAAGAAGCATTTCAGGGGACCCCCGCGAAGGGTTTGTGCGTTGGGTTATGGAGAGAAGAGCGAAGACAAAAATCCGACACCGAGACCCCCTTATCCCCTCACCTACACCGAACAGCAGCAGCAGCAGCAGCTGCTGCTGCAGCAGCAGCAGCAGCAGCAGCTACCCTTGCTGCTGCTCCTGCTCCTGTTGCAGCAATAGGAGCAGCAGCTGCTGCAGCAGCGGGAATAGTAGCAAGGATGGAAGCAGCTACAGCAACAATGAAGCCCGAGGATATCTCCTGCAGCAGCGCACGCAGCAGCAGCAGGAACTGCAGCAGCAGAAGGTGCTGCAGCAACAGCAGCAACTGCTGCAGCTGCAGCAACAGGCAACAGCCGAAACACTTGAAGCTGTTGCTGCGCGGCTGCTGGAGGAGCTGCGGCAACGGGGTGTACATGCAGCAGCTTCACGGGAGAATAGTGCAGCAGCAGCAGCAGCAGAAAGAGCAGCAACACAACCAGCAGCAGCAGCAGAAGCAGCAGCAACAGAACTACCAGCAGACGCAGCAGCAGGAGGAGCGGCAAAAGGTCCAGCAGCAGAAGCAGCAGCAGCAACGCCTGCTGCTGCTGCCGGAACTGAAGCTGCTTTGCTGCAGCACTGGCATTCGCTGCTGTCTGCTGCGCAGCAGCAGCAGCAGCTGCTGCTGCGGGGCCCTCTACTTGGTGGATCTCTTATAGGGGAGTGGCAAGACGAACTGCTGCAGGTGCTGCAGCAGCAGCAGCAGCAGCAGCAGCAGCAGGAAGAGGAGCAGCAGGAAGAGGAGCAGCAGGAGCAGCAAAGAGAAAGACAAAAGTTTGCTTCAGCAGAAGAAGCGGAGGCCCTAGCTGTCTCTGTTGCTGAGCTGCTTATTGAGGTGTACAGACACTTCAAACTTCAGCAGCAGCAGCAGCAGCAGCAGCAGCAGCTACCGCCGTCGCCGGCACAGCAGCAGCAGGCGCAGCGTCCAAACCAGCAGCAGCAGAAGCAGCCACAACAACAACAGCAGCAGCAGCAACAGCAGCAACAGCAGCAGCAGCATTTATTGCCTGGTTTAGAGGGTGTTGATGCTTCATCGCTGCAGTTGTCTCTCTGCTGTCTGCTGCAGCTCTTAGGGGCTTCCTGTCAACCGCATGCAGATAGGAGGGGGCCCCACGAGGACAGCAGCAGCAAACTGGAGGCCCTAAGACAATTTGCTGCAGCAGCAGAAGAACCTCTAAGCAGGATATATAGGGAGAAGGAACGACGCCTGCAGCAGCAGCAGCAGCAACAGCAGCAGCAGCAACAGCAGCAGCAGCAGGAAGCAGCAGAAACAAATTTAGGGGGAATCGATGCTGCTGCAGCTGACCATAAAGAAAGTGCAGCAGCGGTAGCAGCAACAGCAGCAGCAGCAGAAACAGCAGAAGCAGCAGCAACAGTAGCAGGAGCAGCAGCAACAGCAGCAGCAGCAGCAGCAGGAGCAGCAGAAGCAGCAGCAAATGCCCATCAGCAGCTGCTTCACTGGCCTCAGGTGAAGATCGCTCGCCACCATCTCAGGCTGGAGAGACACTCCACCGAAGCAGCAGCAGCAGAAGCAGCAGCAGCAGCAGCAGCAGGACCAACCACAGGAGAAGCAACTACAGCAGAAGCAGCAGCAGCAGCAGCAGCAGCAGCAGCAGCAGCAGCAGCACCTTTTCAGCGGCAGCACGGCAACTGGTTCATTCGTTTATGCAGGCCCTTTACATGGGTCCTGTGGGCCCCGTTGCTGCTGCAAGCTGCTGCTGCACTTGCAGCAGCAGCAGCAGCAGCAGCAGCACGTGTTGCTTCTTTCTCAGCACAGCACCAGCGTACAGCAGCGGGAAAAACAGCAGCAGCAGCAACACTAACAGGAGCAGTAGGCCGGACGATTGCAACAGAGCACTGGCTACGGCGCTGCAGTACTGCAGCAGCAGCAGCAGCAGCAGCTCAACTACCTGCTGCTCTCGGGAAGCAAAGAATACGAAGGGGGGGCCCCCTGCTGCGGCTTGTGGGGCCCCCTGAATGGAGCTTGGGTTGGAGTTGCGGCAGGCGTTTTCACTGTCTCTTTCTGCAGGGAGACCCTCGAGTCTTGCTGCAGCAGCAGCAGCAGCAGCAGCAGCAGCAGCAGCAGCAGCAGCAGCAGCAGGTTGGAGAAGAGGAAGAGGAAATGGCTGATGCAGTGTGGCAGACAAGGTTTTTTATTCGGTGCAGCAAATTGCTGCTGCTGTGGAGACGATTTCTTAAAGAAAGACAGAGACGCGGATGCTGCTGCTACTGCAGCAGCAGCAGCAGCAGCATCAACAGCTGGCATTGCAACAGCTGCAGCTTCAGGTATCAGCAGCAAAAGCAGCAACACAAACTGCACCAGCAGCAGCAGCTGCAGCACCAACATCAAAACCATCACCAGCATCAACATCAGCAGCAGCAGCAGCAGCAGCAGCAGGAGCTGCCAGCCTTCTGGTTTAGTTCTCCTTGTACATGCGGGGGCCCCAGAGACAGCGATTGCTGCACCTGTATAGACAGACAGCTGAGGCAGCTGCATGCATTACCCTCCTGCTGCATCCCTGCTGCTGCTGCGGATCAGCAGCAACAACAACAGCAGCAGCAGCATCAGCAACAGCAAGAACGGGAGCAGCAGCAGCAGCAGCAAGGAAGCGTGTGTGGCTGCTTGGTTGATTTGTTTATTCACCGGGTGTATCTGCTGCTATGTCGATACTACTGCATCTGTGGATTAAACAAAGAAGGAAGAGGCCTCAGCTGTGGGGCCCCACACTCCGTGCTGCTGCAGCTGCAGCAGCAGCTAGGAGAGCCTATAGAAGCATTTGCTTCTCCTTTGAATGCTCGCTGCAGCACTTTCTTCTCCCTCTTCGCTGACACAGACACTCCATTCGGCAGCAGAGGATCTTTCTTTAGCGGGCTGCATCTGCTGCTGCAGCAGCAGCAGCAGCAGCAGCAGAAGCAGCAACAGCAGCTGCAGAAGCAGCAGCAGTTCATCTTTTGCAATCCTCCCTTTGAAGAAGTAATAATACGAAAATTAGAAAAACGCATTTTGCATGCTCTCAATTGCTGCTGCTGCAGCAACAGCAGCAGCTGCTGCTGCAGCAACAGCAGCAGCAAGGGCAACTATAGCAACAGCAGCAGCAACAACGGCAGCAGCAGCAGCAGCAAGAGCAGCAGCATCCCTGTAGCATTTGTTGTATGTTTGCCAGATTGGCGCTGCATCGGAGACAGCAGCAGCAAAGAGAATTCATTTGCTGCTGCACTGCAGCGCAGCAGCTGCTGCTGCGGGTTGCTGCTGCTGCTGCCGGAGCAGCACTCGTACACCAGCGGATATAAACATTTCTGCGACTGCCACTATGAAGATTTAAGGTCTTCTTGCGGCTCTTTGCTGCTGCTGCTGATGAATCCTGCAGCACAAATGATTCTCAACTGCAGCAGCAGCAGCAGCAACAACAACAGCAGCAGCAACAGCAGCAGCAGCAACAGCAGCAGCAGGGGGCAGCAGGTTCTGGAAGCTGCAGCAGATGCGTGGCATGCGCACACCAGGCGCAGCAACAACCGCTATTAATATGCAACTTACTAAACCCTAAACCCTAAACCTTTTAAACCCTTAAACCTATAAACTCTAAACCCTCTGCATAAACCCTAAACCCTAAACCCTAAACGGCAACGTTAAGAGCAAACCCCTTCTTAAGACATCTCTAAAGGCGCATAGAGAAGATTAGTATTTAGGGTTTAGGGTTTAGATTTTAGGGTTTAGGGTTTAGATTTTAGGGTTTAGGGTTTAGCTTTTAGGGTTTAGGGTTTATGAGGTTAAAGCAGACAATCAGGAAGTTGAGGGTTTTCTTGACGTTTGTATTATAAAGAAGCGAACAAACACCGCAACAGAAATTGCTGCAGCTGCAGCAACAGCAGCAGCAGTAACAACAGCAGCAGGAGCTGCAGCAGCAACAGAAGCAGCACAAGCAGCAGCTACAACAGGAGCAGCAGTAGCAGCAGCAGCAACAGCAGCAGCAGCAGTTTTGTTGATACTGTAGGGTACTCTTGTACGTTGCATTCTGCTGCTCGTCTGCTGCTGCTGTCTCTCCTTTGCTGCTGCTGTCTCTCCTTTGCTGCTGCTGTCTCTCCTTTGCTGCTGCTGTCTTTATGTGCTGGTCTTTGTTTGTTTTAATATCGTTTGTCTCTTCTGCTGTTTGTCTCTGTCTCTTTTTGTCTCTACCAGCTGCTGCAGCAGCAAACTGTCTCTAGAGCTGCTTCAGCAGCAAGCTGTCTATAGAGCTGTTGCAGCAGCAAACTGTCTATAGAGCTGTTGCAGGAGCAAACTGTCTCTAGAGCTGCTTCAGCAGCAAACTGTCTATAGAGCTGTTGCAGCAGCAAACTGTCTATAGAGCTGCTGCAGCAAACTTTCTCTAAAGCTGCTGCAGCAGCAAACTGTCTCTTCATCTGCTGCAGCAGCAGCAGCAATTGTCTGTTGCTGGTGGCGAGACAATTCAAACTGTATTACATTAAATAAATCCCAACATAAATGCTGCTGCTACTTAGCAGCACCTGCTGCTGCTGCTGCCGCTGCTCCTGGTGCTGTTGCTACTCCTGGTGCTGCACTGCCTCGTGCAGCAATGCTGCTGCTGCACTTGCAGCAGCAGCAGCCGTTGAAGCTGCAGCAGCAGCTGCTGCTGCTGTATCCGCCAATGCATGGAGGCAGCAGCAGCAGCAGCAGCAGCAGCAGCGGTTTTATTCCCTGTCTTTCTTCAGTTTGCGTCTGCAGCAAAGACAGGGCAGCTGTGCATACACTGCAGCGCTTGGTGCTCTTTCAGCAGCATAATATATATATACAATATATAATATAATATATATATATATAAAGACAGAAATTAAATAATTTATTTCAACAGTGTGCAGCTCAGACCAACAGCATCAGCAACAACAGCAGCAGCAGCAGCAACTAGCAGCAACAGTAGCAGCAGCAGCAGCAACATCAGCAACAATACAGAAGCAGCAACAGCAACAACACAGCAGCAGCACCAGTAGCAGCAACAGCATAATCAGCAAGAGCACCAACAGTAGCAGCAATAGCAGCAGCACCATCAGCAGCAACAATAGCAGCAAATGCAGCAGCTTACAGATAAGCAGCAGCACTAATAGGGTGTATAGACACCTCCAGCGGGTCAGGGATTTTCTTCGGGGGGGGCGGCGGCGGCTCTCCAGCGATATAATGCCAAACCCTAAACCACAAACCCTAAACCCTAAACCCTAAACCCTAAACCCTTAACTGTGGATATCTCCTTTAGAATAAACCCTAAAACCTTAAAGCCCTAGACCCTGAGCGTAAACCCTGAGCGGTAAGCATTAAACCCTTTCAAGAACAAACCCTAAACCCTAAACCCTAAACCCTCACCTCGTGAAGAAGCCAGGAGGCGCTCTAGGAGACGGCGGAATCTCTATCTCTCCATGCTGCTGCACCACTGGCCCTGCTTCTGCAGCAGCAGCAGCAACAGCAGCAAAAGCGGCATAGCATTAACGCGCGTTGCTGCTGAGCTGAAGGAAGCAGCAGCAACTGGAGAGTAAACAGCAGCAGCATCAACAGCAACAGCAGCAGTAGAAGCTACAGCCGTACAAGCAGCAGCTGCTGCAGCAATACTAGCACCTGCAGCAATACTAGCACCACCAGCAGCTTGTCAAGAAACAGGAATGCAAGCAACAGCAGCAACACAAGCAGCAGCAGCAGCAGCAAGAGAAGCAGCGGCAGCATTACAAGCAGCAATACAAGCAGCAGCAGGAGCAGCAACACAAGCAGCCTCTGCACTACCACCACCACCACCAACAGCAACAGCAGCAGCAGCATCAGCACTAGGAGCAGCAGCAGGAGCTACAGCAGGGGCAGCAACAGCAGGATCCGCAGCAAGCTGCAACAACAGCAGCAGCAGCAACAGCATAGCAGCAGCAGCAGCAGCAGCAGCAGCACTAATGACCTGGGAACACAGCAACAAACTCAGCCCTTAAGAGAGCAGGATCGATGCCTTGGGGCTTTGTTTGGTGCTGCAGCCATTTAAGTGCAACATCTGCATCTGTCTGTACACCCCAAATCCTCTCCCAAGGGTCTACTGATCCTTTTCTGCTTCCAGTTGCTGCTGCTGCTGCTGCTCGGTCAAGCGCTGCTGCTGCTGCTGCTACACCCTTCACTTTCGCTGCCTTCCGGAAGCCGTATAACTCCTTTATACGCTTCGCTGCTTCCAAACGCTCCTCCACCTTGCACACAAACCCTAAACCCTAAACCCTAAACCCTAAGACATCCTAAAAACCCTCAGAAATCGTCATAAACCCTAACAAGCTCTAATAAACCCTCATAAACCCTAATACACCCTAAACCCTACATGGTAGGTTATTTATATTTAAACCTACAAACCCTAATAAACCCTAATAAACCCTAATAAACCCTCAGTAATCACTGTAAACCCTAAACCCTCCTAAACCCTAAACCCTAATTACTGCACGATTCTTCGATAGCAAATATTTTGTTTTGTCTATTTGTTTGCTTTAGAGTTGTTCATCTGCATCTTCCTTAAGCTCTAAACCCTAATAAACCCAAAACCCTAGTAAAACCTAATAAACCCAAAACCCTAGTAAACCCTAATAAACCCTAGTAAACCCTTATCCCTCCCTAAGCCCTCCGTATTAACGCTGTAAACCCTAAACCCTAAACTCTAAATACACATATATATATATATATATAGGGTTTAGGGTTTTGTGTAAATAAGGGTTTAGGGTTTAGGGCGTACCTGCAGGTGAATGCCTAGGGTTTGAGCAACATTTTTGAAGAGTTTACTTAACTCTAGAGCAAACCCCTTCTCTGTTGTTATATCATATGTTATATCGCCGTACATTGAAGCTATTCGTCCAAGAGAAGAGTATAGGGTTTGACCCTGTAACTCTATGTGCCCTGACACCCCACAAACCCTCACAAACCCTAAACCCTCACAAACCCTAAACCCCAGCAAACCCGTGCAAACCCTAGCAAACCTGTGCAAACCCTAAACCCTAACAAACCCTAGCACACAATAAGCCGTAGGAAACCTCAATCATAAACCCTAGTAAGCCCTATCAAAACCCCAGTAAACCCTAGTAAGCCCTATCAAAACCCTAGGAAACCCTAGTAAGCCCTATCAAAACCCTAGCAAACCCTAGCAAACCCTAGTAAACCCTAGCAAACCCTATCAAACCCTATCAAACCCTAGCAAACCCTATCAAGCCCTAGTAAGTCAAAATAACTCTAACTACCCGTCCGGCCGCAGTTAAAAATGCAGCAAAGTGAAGAATAAGAATTAATTACCCCTTTCAAAGAGAGCAGAAGCAGCTCCTAGTACATCAAACGCAGCAAAATCTCCAATTGTTGTTAGGGTTTGCAGCTGTGCTGCAGCTTCAGAAGGAAAAGGAGACAGCCGAAATGCATCAACGAAGAAGACTTCATCTGATCTGTTAAATTTATGTCTGTAACACGCTAAACCGTTCAATGCAGGGCCCATCATCAACTCCAACTCCTCCTGCAATAAATAAATAAATAAATAAATAAATACGGATGTATATATATAGGTGTATATATATATGTATATTTATATATTGATACACATATATATATGCATATATATGTATATGTGTATATGTATATTTATATATTAGTGCTTATATGTTTATGAAAATTTATATATACACATATAATTATAGATATATACGCATATGGATATATAAATGCATAGATACATATATATATATATATAGATACACAGAGATGTATATATAGATGGGTGCATATAAATATATGTATATATATATATATATAGATTTATATATATATATATACGCACATATATATATATATGCACATATATATATACATATATAT